ATTATATGACAAAGAAATACTTGGAAAGATAATAAAGAGTGGGTGTTTCACCCTGCACCTCCTCCAAGCACTTCATCCTTCAATTCCAAATATTTTCAGAATCACAAAATTACCTATATTGTATTAATATTTAATTATTAATATTTAATAAATTAAATGGTCAAAGATTTTTTAGGGTGTTAGGAGATATTTTCCTTCACGCATATCTCTGCACATTTTGAAACATCTCCTCTCTTGCTCTATTTTGTTCTTCCCTCTCCTTTTGCACACAGCACACTCCAGCCACACACAGAAGGGTTCTTTGAGGGTTTAGGAACTCCCGACGCAGCCTGTGCAACAGAAAAGGAAGATCTTGCAATCTCTGCAATCACCATTCGGAATCAATTCCACAAAAAAGTACAATGAAAGGGAAGAATGCAAGAAGAAAGAAGATGGGCACCTGAAAAAAAGAGGAAGGTTGGCCACCGAAGACACGGTTATATGCATGAATTTTGGAGAGAATCTGAGCAACTTCAGGATCATGACACTGGCTGAGAGAGTGTTCGGTGGGGATTAAGAGAGTGATGGGTCGGCGACAGAGAGGGCATTTGCAAGAGCTTGTTCCTGATGAGCATGATGCAATTTGCTGCAAAATGAAAAGGTTGCGAATTGATGGATGAAAGATTGAAGGGTGAAAAGAGAAAGCGAAGAAGAGGGTTTTATACCACAAAACCAGTGAGAGCAATTGGCTTGACAAGGAATGTGAAAGTTAGCATGGCAGATTGAACAGAGATCATTGGGAGGAGGACCAGACTCCATTTCCACTCCTTCATTCGCTGTGTTTCTCACTCTCCACCTCTTCTTCTCTTCTTACTCTGTTCTTACTTTGCAACTACAGATATATACCATTCCATACCTCTCTTCTCTTATTTTCATCCGATAACATCTTCACACTTTTATTTTTTCTAAAATATTTATATCAAATTTAAAAAATTTATAAAACTTATTTTTTAACAATTAAAAATTATTTAACTAAATTATAAATTTATAAAAATTCATACATAAATTTAAATATAATTATAAACTAATAAAATAAAATAAGTAATATAATTAAACATTTTTAAAACTAAATCGGATATGTATATCCAATTGTTCATCATAATCTTTTTATCGAACTTTTATATTTAATACATACATTTTAGAAATTTTGTAATTAAATTATAAATTCATACATAAATTTAAAAATAATTATAAACAAATAAAATAATTAAATAACTAATATAATTAAATTTTATATAACATCTTAAACATGAATCGGATATAACATTCGAAAATCAAAATATTAGATATCACATCCGATATATAAAATTGGATTTTTATATTCGATACTACATTTTTATTCTAAAATAATTTTATTATTTTAATAAATTCATACATACATAAATTTAAAAATATTAAAGAACACGAGATTATCAAAGTTACAATTCAAATGGGTGCAATGGGAAGTAGGGTTTCATTTTAATACATGAAAAATGGGATGTGCGAGTGTATGTTTTGTGATAAGGAGAAAATAAGATATAGTCAATACTTGGCACATAAATTGTCAACAAACATAAAATTAATAAATAAACAACATATTAATTAAGAATATTTTAAGAAATTGGAGGTATATATTTTTATTTCCTTTACCTCTCACCCTTTTCATATTCTAAAATACATGTCTTTTTTCTAAGTTGACAATAAACTTTATGAACTCGTACAACAACAAAACTAATATAAAAAACAATCCCTCAAACCTAAATTAACTCATCACGTGTGAAAAAAAAATTGATTAGTTGAAAAGAAAAGAAACCCTCATAAATCATTGTAGGTATCTTGAACACAATGAGACGAAAATGAGGCCAATGTTACAGGCATGATAATGTGATCTACATAGTGCAACCAGAAAACATCGATGGCTAGTATGTCTGCCTTTGTAACAACATGTGGTAGTTGTATGATTATCTGTTGAAACCCAAACTGCCTCAAGACACGTTAAGAAAAATTTTAGTAAAGCCTCTTGCTAATCTTTATCCACACAGAAAACATAAGAAGTCCATAAATGGATGAGTGACCCGATATGACTCATGCGGGTACCAAATCATTGCATTGTATGTGAGCCATCTAGTTGTGACCTCGCGCTCTACTAGATTGCAAGAATGTCTCGACGTCACGCAACAAGCGATACATGGTATGTCTCCATCGTAAGAAGACAATACACACCTCCTCCCCATCCTAGGAAAGTACTTGTAAATCTAACTTTGTAAAAAAATCTAATTAATCATTCATCAACAACATTGAAACAATTAGAGGAAATTAAAGTGCAAAAATATGTGTACTTGCAAAAGAGTCAAATATAATGTCATTTGCTTTATTGAAACCAAACTCACATTTCCTTGATGCTTGTACATGTGCGCTAGTATAGAAACTTTTTATGCATATCGATCACATGTGTGTAAGTCTTTGAATAAATAAGACACACAAATAGATGTGATACTTTTATTAATAAAAATAATGCATCTAACAAAGACGCAACAAATATGCAGGAGCAAGGTACTCACTGCGATTGTTCATATAACTAATCATAGATGTCTCTCGGTCAGGTCAGGCTCACTTTTGGACTGCGTGCTTCTGTCACCAGCCCTCCTATGATTCATGCCTACAAGCACGACAAAGACGGATCAAGCGTTTTCTGTTAAAACCTTAATTGTAGACGTTATTGAATATTTGATTCGTATGAGAATCTTGTGTGTTTTTAAATAAAATAAAAGTATCATATTTATTTGTTTAAAGCTTATCAAGGTGGGGGGTAAGGGTCTCCGTTCCTATTTCTTTTGAAAAATAAAATAAAATAATAATTAGTTAAGTTAAAATGGAAATGTGTGAAATAAGAGTCTTAAATAAATATTAAATTATTATTATGTCAGTGAAATTGGCCTAGTGATTATGAGATGTGTGCTTGTCTGTGTCACTTTTATTTTTATTTTATTTTCGTTTCGTTTTTTTATTTTTTCTTCTCCCTCCTATTCTCCCTGTTTCTATCTCAAACCATTGTCCTTTGTCTCTTCTTTGTCTTTTCTTTGTCTCTTCTTTGTGGCCTTGATTGCACTTGTGTCATTGCATTTGGAGTATCGAAGACTAGGTTTGCAGCCGACCATAGTGGTGATTACGGCAGTTGAGATCAGAAATTTTCTTTTAGTTTTCGGTATAGGTAATTCAAAAGTTAACCAAACTGGATTCGGTGCTTACCAAAAATAACAATCCAGAGTCACCATTCCGAAATATGTTACCGAGATGAACATTCTGGAACACAGTCCCATAATATGTTTTCCAGAAAAATATTCTTCACCAATTTTGGAATACTCTTTCAGTGCTTCCAGAATGAGTTTTCTAAATTGTAAAATTACTGTTCCAGAAACATGAATCCGAAAATACAGTTCGCACCTCCCCACCAATTCCGGATACGTGGTGATTCGAAAGCAGATTCTGTTTATTGGTAGGTCCAACTGCACCATGCACCATTTTAGCCAACACAACCACAAGAAAATAACACCTTCCATTCAAGCAGATGTTGCAACATGAACCAACTCATCATAATATCATCACAGCCGCGTGAAATTGAGAAAAATACAGACAAGCACAGATGAACATCCCACCTGAACCTTCTTTCAGTAGCATTCAAATACTTTAACTCTAAAAGCTTGAATGGAAATTTGACTGAACTGAAGCATAAAAGCACGGAACACCGCTAAAAATCCCATTGAATAAATTAAAACATCCAAGCATAAAAGCCACACACACACCTGAACAAAAGATGGATTAAAAAGAATATCAGGAATCTTGAATCTGTCAGATGCAACTTAAATAATCCTTGACATCCATGGTATCAAAGTTATATGGTTATTGCAGAAAAAGCCATTAAAATCAACAAATATACTTGTAGATACACAGAAGATAACAGAGACAAAAACCGAAGACCATTCAAATAATTGAAAAAAAACGATAATTTCAATACAAGTAATGTTGGACTCACTGGCCATCAGGAAACTCGTACGCAGAGTGATAAGAATATTAGAATAGGCACTCTCTACATACATGGAAAAATTATTATAATGGATATCATGTGTGGAATCTGATGATAACGAAATCCAATGTAAACAGAAAGGTAAAACCGTCATAGTTATAACTCTGAATTTTTTCTGTTCGATTTATGAGACAAAATAAATAAATATGAATGTGTGATGATTTAGATTAAAAAACCTCGGAAGAGAGAAAACGCAAAATAAAAGTCAAACATAAAATTATTCTGTTCAAAATAAAATATAAAAAAAATCTAACTATATGGTTTTACTATTGATTAGAGATTAATTATACTTTTAGTACATAAATTTGGGAAAAGAAATCAGTTCTGATTAGTCATATAATATATATATATATATATAAAGTCTGATAAAATTTCGATTTTAGTTTTTAAACACTAAATTTAAAAGACTAAAATTATAGTTTTGGGATTTAGGACATATAAGACTTAGAGTTTCAGATTAATTTTTTTTTTAGTTTTTGCAGATTCTAAAACCAGTTTTTACTTTAATTTTGAAAGATCAATATAATTTTTTTTGTTTAATTTAGAATAGGCATAATTTTTAAATGTTGGTGATTGACTTTTGTAATTATACGATGCTATAAAAAAGTAGTTGCATACTTATGTTTTGGTGCACATTTCTCGTACCTTTGATTCTGACATTTTTCTCTTTTCTTCTATTCTTCCATCAATACTTACAATAAGTTAAATTCAAATTTAATTTTAAATCATATGCGATTAATTTCGCTGGAATATACTACATGCATCATGGTGTCAATGCAAAGTATTACCTGTCTTTGAAAAAAAGAAGATTATTTGATACCTTTTTTCTCTCTGTTTGACAATAAAATATTAAATCAAGATGAAAGAATTTGATTACAACAAGAGCTATGAATGGTGTAAAGAGTTGAAATATGATTGTAGGATATTGAAGAAAGCTATAATAGGGGCTCAGCATTATATTATTGAATCATATAATAAGGTGAATTCATGTAACGAATGAACTACAGGGTCCCTAAGAATAAATTTTCTAATATATAAATAGATAAATAGAATTGCAGCAGGGGTTTCATTGGTAGAATTTCAAGTAATTCAACGCAATTCATTTGAAACCCCATAACCATCACGATGAGATTTCTGCCATCTCCATGCAATCCTCAAACTCTGTTGAAGATCAGTGTACTTAGCACTCCAATCCAGTTCACGTTTGATCTTTCTTGGGTCACTGTACACCTCAGCATAATCACCAGGACGACGAGGAAGGAATTCCACTTTAATGTCCACCCCTGTCGCCTTTTTACAAGCTTCCACAAACTGCTTCACTGAACTACCTGATAAACATACACTAATACTATAATCAAACGTACAAGGTTGTTTTGTTTTGTTTGGTTTGGTTCAGAATGTTTTCTGCTGTTTTCACCATCCAAGTGTTTAACTTACCCTTTCCAGTGCCAACATTGTAGATCCCAACTTTAGCAGGTTGTGCCTTTTCTAGAGCTTTTACATGAGCATCGACCAGGTCAGTTACATCGATATAATCTCGTATGCAAGTTCCATCAGCCGTCTTATAGTCTGTTTCTCTTACCTGCATAGTGCCACCACCCAATCAACACCCTACTAAACCAATCAAATGCAAACTTTATTCCACTTTTCATTATACATATGAAAACACAGTCTGACTTCTATAAAGAATTCCTTTTCAGCCATGAAAGAGAAAAAAAAATGAAAATTTCAGTATCAGCATACCTTTAAACCAGGTACAATACCACGAGCAGCATCAAAGCAAGCCCTGATATTCGACCTTGCTCTCGCAGTTCAGGCCAAGGAGCCTCACCCAAATTTCCATTAGGGTCTGATCCAATCACGTTGAAATGTCTGGTAGTTTCCCAAAGAAAACTTATAAAGAATACCAGCACAGATAATTTTAAAAATCTTTAATGTATCCATAGGTAAAACTCATTAACTATAATAATGACATGTTTTAATAAATTATTTGCAAAAATATACATTCATTTAATAAATATACATTCATTCATTATTAACTATAATAATGACATGTTTTATATGGACCACCAGGGCATAACTGATTCAATTGGAATGAAGGTTTGAAAATTAAAGAAGGCTCTATATGGATTAAAACAATCCCTAAGTAACTCTGATCACACCTTATTTTTTAAGAGAGGAAAAGGAAAAATTACAACTTTGATTATATATGTAGATGACATGATTGTTACATGAAATGACCAAGATGAAATTTCTAGTTTACAACAATACCTTCCATCTGAATTTGAGATGAAACAACTTGGAAACCTCAAATATTTTTTGGGTATTGAAGTAGCTAGATCAAAACATGGTCTTTTTCTATGCCAAAAGAAAATATATTATTGATTTACTGTCGGAAACTGGGCTGCTTGGAAGTAAACCAGCTGATACACCAATTGAACAAAATCATAAACTCTTTTAATGCTCAGATTCAGCGAACATAGACAGAGGAAGATACCAAAGGCTGGTAGGAAAATTAATTTATGTGTGTCATACACGTCCAAATATCACCTATGCAGTGAATGTTGTTAGTCAATTTATGCATGACCCAGAGAAGCTTCATATGGATGCTGTTGAAAAGATTTTGAAATATTTGAAGTCTGCTCCTAGAAAAGGAATTTTGTTCTCAAATCATGAAAACTTAAAGGTAGAAGGGTACACTGATGCAGATTGGGAAGGTTCAAAAGATGATAGAAGATCTACCTTTGGATACTTTACTTTTGTAGGAGGGAATCTTGTAACTTGGAGGAGTAAAAAACAACCTGTAGTAGCAAGATCTAGTGCTGAAGCAGAATTCAGAGGCATGACACTAGGTGTATGTGAACTTTTGTGGATTAAAAATGGCTTTAAACAAATGGGCTTTAAACAAAATGAAGTTATGAATGTGTATTGTGACAATACTTCGGCTATAGCAATTGCTCACAATCCTGTGCAACATGATAGAACAAAACATGTGGAGATTGATAGACATTTCATCAAAGAGAAGCTTGAAGCTGGAATAATTTCATTTCTTTTTGTAAGATCAGAATTGCAGTTGACTGATGTTCTCACCAAAGGAGTGTCAAGAACATTGTTTAATGAGTCTCTATTCAAGTTGGGAATGTGTGATATCCATGCACCAACTTGAGTGGGGGTGTTAAGATATGTCAAATATTCTATTAAAGGATATTAGGCAATCAAATATTGTGTTAGTTATAATTTAGATATTATTATAATTTTTGCAGATTTGTGCACCTGTCATTCCTTTAATAGATGAAAAATTATAGAATCCTTAAATGTATATATATGGTACTCTACTCTTTGAAATAATACATCAAAATTATTTTTTAAACTTTTATTACCTAACAAAAGATTCCCTCATAAACATCCACCCCTGCTTTCACCTTACGTTATTTCTGGTAACAGGTCTACCACTTGGCGGGTCAACAACAGACCCATACTTCCTGCAATTATGCAAAAGTGGCCATTTCTTCATAGACCTCCATAATTTCTTCATGCATTTTAAAATTTCAATTATATCATTTTTTTTTTCATTTTCAATTCCAGAGCTCACAATATGAATATGTTTCATAATATACAATCTAATTTTAAATTAAAAAAATTGTGTCATGGTAGTCTTCCCTTATATACTTTATATGTTTCATAAATTTTACTCTTCGATGATAAAGATATAATTTAGGTTGGATAAAATCTAAAATTGTAAAAACAATACAATCATATAACTACTTAATGTGCATTTTCTAACACAATTTTTTTATGCCAGAATAAACTTTAAATCTAATTAAACTCTTACATTTACTTATATAGTATTATTTTATCATATTATTAATCAAACGTTGAGTCTTTAACTTACATAATAGATAAACTATATAAAAATTATTTAGATAAACTATAATAACTATTTTGTCATTAGTGCAGAAAGGGCTTTAGACGTCCCTTTTTTTGGCCTTTTGATGTCCGGCCTTCCCCCGACGTCTTTGTGGGTGACGTTGCTCAGACGTCGGGGCCCACATCGGACGTGCACATAGACGTCCGATTTGTCAGGCCCGACGCCTATCCAGATGTCCGGTGTACACCCTCGGACGTCCACGTAGACGTCCAACGTGCCCGTCAGACGTCCCGCGACGACCACCTGCCTGAATTGTTTTGTGGTAGGGCTGGGTTGGACGTTCGTTTGTGCACTACCAGACGTTCGTTTGTGCACTAAGCATTTTAGCACATAGGGCTTCGGCCGGCGCTACTACAGCGCTTCGCTAACTCGAAGCCTCTAGGTAAATCTAACTTCGATAAAGCTCAACTAAGTCTTGAACCATCGCGCGTTCGCTTTCTCAGTAGCAATCTCGGTAAATCTTGCTCCCACTTCCTCGCATCTGTGCTCGTCAAGCCAACTTTGCTATTTGGGAGGTGAAACTGCAGTTGAAGCGGACATTTCGAAATGACAGCATCGAAGATCCCCCTGCTTGCAGAAATGAATGGATCAAAAGGGGGGGCTGGGTTCTATTTCCGGGGCGGGCGGGAGGTGAAGGCCATAAGATTGCCCTCCCGGAAAGAGAGGCCATAAGATTGCCCCCCTGCTTGCAGAAATGAATCGATCAGAAGGGGGGGCTGGGTTCTAAATAAGTGAAACTCTCGACGTCCGTTGTGGAGGGAGCCGGACGTTTATAATATTATAGGCGTCCGTCCCCCTCCACAACGGACGTTTAAGGGGCTGAGAGACAATTAATTCTTCAAATACCTGTCAGCACCCGAAACGTCCGTTGTAGAGGGGACAGATATCTATAATATTATAAACGTCCAGCCCCACGTATGGACGTTTCGGGTGCTGACAGGGTTGTTGAAGAATTAATTGTCTTCAGCCCCTTAAACGTCCGTTGTGGAGGGGCACAGACGTCTATAATATTATAAACGTCCGGCCCCACGTATCGGACGTTTCGAGTGCTGACAGGGTTGTTGAAGAATTAATTGTCTTCAACCCCTTAAACGTCCGTTGCGGAGGGGCACAGACGTCTATAATATTATAAACGTCCGGCCCCACGTATCGAACGTTTCGGGTGCTGACAGGGTTGTTGAAGAATTAATTGTCTTCA